GTTTACAGTAGATAGCTGAATTTATTACAAGTCTCAGTTTACAGTAGATAGCTGAATTTATTACATGACTCGCATCTTCAACGACATATCACATACTACCAAGTACACATTATTCTTATAGTATATAAATAACACTCTGTGTTTCCACATTTTCTTTTGATGTTAAAGTAAACACAACTGTTGGGATATTTTTATAAGCTGATATATAATTTCTTACCCAAGAAAATCCGACGCACCCTATAGCATCAGACAGCATATCTGCCAGGATAGATGGATAGGAGTTTCCCGCGGGAAAATATGCATGAAACCTTGGATGTTGCCAGTGAGTAACCTATAAACAATTATTACAAATAAAGTAGTTAACAGTTCTGAAATGCTTATATCGATTGGGGAAATATAGAAAGGAAACATAAAATGTAAATTGTATTTCTTATTACTTTTTTTTTTTTTTACTTTTTACTATTTGTCATAAACCTTAATCCAACCATAATAAAAATACTGCAACATATACTATTTTAACAAGTATTTTTCAGCGATAATTCCTAAAGCCGTATTCTTTGAGTTAGCTCAACGTGTTGCACGAGCACAGCAAAGACAATGATAAAAACAAGCGTTCGTGATGTTTATGTTGTTTAATAGTTGGATTCTATCATGTATACATTATTGTACTGCTTAAGTCGGTACATCTGATAAAATTATTGTTTTTATTTGCTATTGTATCAAACAAATACACGGGTATGTTTAACACCAAAAACGGAAGGTCATCTCTTTGATGTGTAATGTCGTCCATTAATTTCTACAAAATGTATCATTTACAACTAAATCCTTTAATATCAACCAAAGTCCAATTGTAAAAATTACAGTAATACTATGGTAACTTTATAAGATTAATTTCGAAGTAAAAGAATTGGCTAGCTACAAGCTTGAAGATTGTATTTTTTATCTTGTGTCTTAACTATATATTCAGTGTTTCATAAAATACATTATAAAACTCTTGTATCCCTTAGAAGTCTTACTCTTAATGTAGAATATGAAAAATGTCGTCTAAATTGTAATGTTTTACGCCAAACTCAATGTTTTAAAAAATAAAACATATATTACTTAAAAACATTTACATTTTTTCACTTTGTTCTCCGCAGGCTTTTGCAATAATATCCGAAATCGATCATTTAAAGTTTTTTTTTTCCATTTCACACAAAAATTAACTTTAATAAAAAAAGAAAAACTACACTAAGCGATATTTAATTTGCATGTGAAAAAGATACTTAAGTCTTTTTATTTTTAGGGAGAGGAGAATATATGAAAGTAGTTCTTAATCAACAAAGAGACAAATACGACTTTTGTGTGTGTGTTTTTTTAATTCAGCCATATTTAGCTAAAATAAATAATGTAAGTGCTATTTATTTATTCCAAAATCTTTCCACTGTGATTTAAACATTTTTCTCTCTCTCTCTCTTACCAAATTAATATTATGAACATAAAATACATGGAAAGTAAAAGGCTTAGCAACTAATAAGATGTAGCATTTAAGTTTTCCTGAACAAGAAATTTTAAAATATTAATATATCTAAAAAACACCCGCCTATTAAGGATAGAATATACAGAATAATATTAGTATTACTTGATTATAAATACCACAACAAAAGCTTATAATTGCACTTACACCAGGCATAATGCAACGATCAACGTCGTTTATAATGTTTTCCCAGTTTTCTCCCTTAAAGGGGGCGCTGTGAGGGAGAAGCTCTCGAAGGTATCCAGGTTCTATGTCGGGTGTGACGCGTCTCGAAGGCAAGTTTTCAATGTAATCTGCAATGTAATCAACCATTTCACGACCTCGCTTTCTAAATTCTGAAGTGTCCATAGCAACTGGTGGAGTAACAGAAAATCAGCTAAATTAAACTTATGTATTTCTTAAATAAGTATATATATATATATTTCGTTTTTGCACTTTTCTCACATATATCATAAAACCCTTTAATTACAGCGAGGAGTCCATTTTAAGATCCCAATTACAAGAGTAATGTTACAAATCATGTAAACTTGAGACTTAAGTATAAAAAGTTTTGAATTGTGATAAAAAACATTTTTCGTGTATTTTTACAACCTGCATCATTATGACTTTGGGTCTTTATTCACTTGTACAAATAAGTTGTAGACAGACAAACAGGATGTACCTCCATGGCCTTAGCTAAGGTGGCGCCACGCAATTGGAAGTTTTCATCGGTGTCGAGAATACGAAGTTTTACAAATCCAACCATCGCAGCTTTTTCAACACTAGAATGAGCCTGAAAAAAAACATTATAATCTGTAAAATAAATGAAAATATTTCTAATACAGCGATACGATTAGTCACAAGCAGTGTTGCACATATTGAAATGGAATTAAAAAACCCATTAATGAATATATATTGTTAAGTCTAGATTTAATTTTAACACTTTTACAAACGAAATGTTTAGACACCGAGCATAGTACCTTATTAAATCGCCTAGTATTGAGAAATTGTAAAAACTTTAATTTGTTGAGTAACTCTTTACATCTAATTATTTTGTATCTTTATAATTGCATTCTTTTTTGATATTGATTTTGTTTACGTAATAATCTAACTATAGAATATAATTAAAAACTAACATAAATGAAAATGATGGGTGTGAAATAAAAACAATATAAAAACATACCTCTTTAGAACAATAGGCTACAAGCTTTGAAAGAAGTACACCTTCTTCCGCTAGAGGGTGTTGTTGTTTCAAACTCCTTATCGTTGTATGGCGAGCGGCGAGCAGAGAAACTAAAACACAATCACTGGCCGAGCCCTATGTTAGAAAAAAAATACGTCATTATCCCATTATAATCATTAAAAGACGAACATTCAGTTCTACAAAAGATATTTAGATGAAAAAAAGTAAATGGAATTTGTACTTTTTTAAATTTATTTTGTGGTTAGGCATCGCACTGAAGGCTGATAATTTCCAAAATGATGTAAGTATTGGTATTAACACTGTTTTATTTCATGGAAAAAGAAGAAAAAGTCAAAATTGTAATGGGGTAAAATTAGCTATAATTCGATATTCTAACTATACTTTAACTTTCTGGAATCAACCTAGCGATAGACAAATAATGTCAAAGACACACACTAACATCTTTTGTGTGTGTGTGTGTGTGTACCTGTATTACTCCTCCTCCCTTGCTATGTTCTGAAAGACAGAGAAAATCTTCGGGCAAACCGATCATCTTTCCTAAACGACAAAAATAAAATACCCGGGAAGTCAACGGATGATTTTGTATTTTATATATATTAAACAAAAATAAGATTGTTTAGGCTTAGGTAGATCAGAAATTTATTTTCAATATTAATCTTCTTTATAAAAATATCATTCATATTAATCAAAGAGGAAGTATGTTTGTTACGAAGATAATGATGTTTCGAATTACTTTAGAATAAGCGCGCTCGCCTCACCTCGCAAAAGTCTTCAGAAAAAAAAAATATTTGTGCAAAGGATGTTTCCTAGCAATCTTCTATCGAAACTTATAAATGTATTGAAATTTTGTTTGTAAATTTTAGAGGACCGTTATAATACGTTTTGTAAACTTTCTTACCTAACCACTCCAATACGATTGTTTCTAATTCTGTACATGCTGGGCTGGCCGCCTATAAAAGTAATAATATCGTTATTAGTAGAGTGACGATGCCTGTCTTAAACAAGTATAGTATCCAAAACGAATTTTATAATCTCTTTAAAAATATTTATATAAGAACATAAATTTAAACAATACCAGAAGTGTAAGATTATGTATATAGTAATGGAACAATACCATTATACATGTTTATAAATTTAGAAAACAGAATAGCTATACTAATGATCGCAGTGAACACTCGTCCAAGAGTGGTAAATGTATTGCATATAGAATCCAATGCTCTTTGAACGAATGACGTCCTAAAATCTGGGATTATTCCTTTATTGTCTGTTTTCTTCAATCTGATGAACACCATAACGTCATATTTCCCGACACCGCCATTTATACTATAACAAGCCCTTGTGAAGGACTCCGACATCAATGTAAGATAAATTTTCCAGTATACATGGACGTAGTCTTCCACAATCATGTTTAGGCAGACCAAAGCCACATAAATCTATTGAAGTTATACTGTTAACAGCGAAGCTTCTCAACTGGTCAAACAGTGCATTTTTATAAGCATATTTAATTAGTTATGCTCATTACCAGGTTCAGTTTCAATTAGTAGCTTGTTCTGATCGAAAGTTAACATTAATAACATTCACTTTGCCTATAAGGGTATTGATTCAGATTTGCTTTGTGTTTTTATATCTTAAATGCTTTGATTTTTCCATATCCGTGGAAGATGATTTCTCCAAAAGTTAGTCTCTTAACTTTACATTCTCCCTCGAATACAGTTATGATATTTTTATTTGGTCATAAACTACCTATAACAGTGTTGCTTGTCAGATGGTCAGGAATTCGCTGTAAAACGCTTATACAAAAAATCAAAGAACAGGGAATATTTTCCCATACCTTCTATTATGGACTAACATGAGCACCGAGCTGAGCATACCCATACCTTCTATTATGGACTAACATGAGCACCGAGCGGAGCATACCTTCTATTCCATAACTTATATTTCGACACCTTATATAGCCAACAGTTTGTTTTTAATATATACGTTACCCACAAATAACACAAATTTAGACTCAGCAATAAATTGTTACGTCAAAGCAAGTTTCTTATTTTTAAACTTAGGTATCCATTACTAATCTGGAACTTATAAATGTCCGCTCCTTTAAGTTGTAATGAACAGTAATAACCTTTGAATATTTAAAAAAATACCAACCGAAATATAATAAACCAGTCGAAATGTAACGTAAAAAGGGTTTAGATTAGATGCAAATAAACTTTACCATATATAGCCATGAAGTGAAGAATAATTACACCACGTTTTGTAAATGTTTTCAATAATACGTTTCCAGAAATTTAAACTAAGCACCAAGATAAAAAACTACCATTTAATTCAACTTCATTAAAATTGTATTACTTGTGAACTTTATCAGAACAGCACTATAGTTTTTGGAATTGATTTTACTGGAAAGATAAAAAATATCGGACTCTTACTCTGTAGTCAATGGATTTATCTGAAATGAAATAACAAATATCAACATTAGTACTTTAAAGAATATTTTAACGTATAACTATTTGCATGAAACTATATTACTTTTTTTTCTGTTTAAAACCTTATACTCACAGACAAATCTTGTTTCAAAATTCGCTCGGTAACAGTACACAATGCTCAGTTAGCGAAAGTTTTGAACCAGAACATTTCTACCAAAGTTAATTGAGAAACTTTTTCTTATGTATGTAAAAAATATATAGCATTAACAAAAAAAAATTAGTATCAAGCAGAGTGTGTGTGTCATATTATATATATATCTGCTGTAGAAATTGTCTTTTTTGAAAATATACCGGGGGATAACCTTTTTAAGGAAATACTTACTGAAAATTCTAATATTCCATTTCTGATTTATATTCGAAATATATTATACAAACGTTAAAGTTTAAAATATTGAGACAACATGAAGATTTTACTTACATTTAGGAAACCTAGTAAGTTTTTTTTTATTATGACGTCAAACAATATATTACTATACCATACTAATAATTCTATACTATTGCATGTTTCACTTTTGTAAAGTTATACAAATTGAAAAATTCTCCACAAACATAATTAATAACGTTTGAGTATTCAAATAGAGTAATAAGACATAATATATACATGTTACGACAGCGGAATTCACGTGACGCTGGTAACACGCAATGATTATCTAGAACGTTTGTGAAGGCTCGAGTGTTTACCAGACGCCCTCTATTTCGTATATATAAGACCGGCGAGAAGTGGCGGTATATATAGAATGATAATTGCAGACAGGCTGAGATAGAGACGGACAATTGAGTCAAGCGCGGTAGTAAGTAAAATGCGTGAATCGTTCGTTGTGAATTATAGCGTGTGGTTAAAGTGACTGTAGAAATTAAGTGTATTGCAAAGTTGAATTGAGAAAGAATAAACTAGTTTTATTTAAGAAAAAACTTTTATCGCTGAAGTTTCTCGGAAAGAATTTCTATGAAAAATTAACAAACGAACACAGACGTAACATACAGTTTTACTACTGGACTCAAGTTTTATTTACTTCAAAGATAAATTATTATTGTTCGTACAGCCATTTTTATTTTGATGTCTTGTTTAATCAGATAAATCTGTTTAATCTGCTGTACTTACCAACCACTTCAAAATCTGTAATAGAAAAAGGAATACAATGCAGAGTTACTAAACCAAAAGGCTAACTTACCGGAATAGCTATGTTGTAAATACAAGGGATCAACTACAAGGGCCTGAGTCAATTTAAACCGGTCTTTAACCCTGAAAGGGAGCACGTGAATAAGATTTTTACATAATGCAACACATGTAATTACTTTTATATTCACGGACATTTAAAAATCTTTAGTGCGAAATGCAACCTTGTAATTATTATCAAAATTCACAACTTCCCAATAAATGATTCCTAATCACAAATAATTAAAGCCAGATTGGAATTATAATTTTAAAGGCATTTTGGGCTTTACAAACTTGATGGACTTACTGAACAACTATATAACGTAACATAGAATATGTTTCCACATTAACAAGCTAATAATAACGTATTTTATATAACGTAACATAAAATATCTTTCCACATTAACACGCTAATAATAACGTATTTTATATAACGTAACATAAAATATCTTTCCACATTAACAAGCTAATAATAACGTATTTTACATAATTTATTTATCTGGATTTAGAAAGTTTAAAGAATTTACGGAAACTAAAAAGCTAAAAACTCAATCTTTTCCAAGATCCAGAATTAGCGAAGTACAACAGAAAAATTGGATGTTTGTCTATAATTTAGGATCTAACTACAACTTTGTTATTACATATCAAACAGAAAGAACGAGTTTAAAAGAGCGTGTATTTTTCGATTCTCAATGGGAGAGAAATTCAATAGTTACTTTTGAAATAATGATAATTTTAAAGTTAAAATTTATGTTTTAACACACAGACTGCAGCTGATTTAAACGCGCGCGGAATTTTTGCAAACTGTACACTGTAAACGGCACACTCTCATTCAAGTGCCGGGGACGGAGTGTACCGTATACGGCAAATCGGCAGTCAATGGATTAATATTATAAATGACAGTCATGACATTGGTTTTTTGTAAATTAATTTTGGGTCTGTCAGAAAACCATTATTTAGAATCAAATATTTTTTTATTTAACTCAATGTGCTTTTATTACAATGTTACATGCACTATTACAAAATTTAAGAAAGCAATAAAGTTAGAGTATGTTTATCCCATGATTTCAATAAATAAGTTCTGTAACTTACCACAAGGTGGAACAGTCAAAATTAACAAGCATCCATTTATTGGGATTCATGTTGAAAGAACTGGCATGCTGAAAAAAAAAGAGGCTGATATTAGCCACGTATCATTAGCAAACACACTAAATAAAAAAACTTTTAATTAGGAATTGTTAAAAATACCTTACAGTATATTCCTTCAACCTTCTTATTGTAGGAACTAGACGTTTACAAAAATTATATATTCATTTCATTTTCTTGCTGAGTTCAAGAAAGGAATGCTTACCTCAATACCTTTCAACAAATGTTGGAACTCGGGACAAATAAATGCACTTCCTGAATAGGCAGCATCAACATGAAGCCACACACCCTCTTCCTGACAGATGGGTCCGATCTCGTGTATTGCATCAAACGAACAGCAAGAGGTGGTTCCAAGAGTTGCTGACACCTATAAATGACAAGTATCAAGCTGGTAATTTAATGGTTTAAATGTTCAAAGCTATCCACCTCTGTGAGTGTAACAGTTAGTTTCACAATAAATTCCTATGAGGCCAGCTATGATTTTGATAATAAAAACAACTATTATAACATTGAAAAAATTCAAGAAATATTCACCGTAACATTCATTATCTGAATTTTGTTTCTATTCCTTGAAACAAATATTTTTCTTCTTCTAAGAAACAACATTTATACGAGAAAGAACACAAAAGCAATAAAAAATAGCCATCAGTAATCCTACTTAAAGAAATAGAAAAACTTCAGATAATATAAAAATAACTTAGTGTTATTAAAGAAGATAATTAATAGCACATGAAAGACACAGGAGCGAAAACAAGGCTAATCAAAAATACCTTTCCATTTATTTATTGCACTATGATTTTCAGTTTCATGCATTATATATAACTATCTAACGAATAGTATTACTAATCTGTTTCTATGTACATTAAATATCATATAATATTTAATATCCAATACTTTATTGTTTAGAATTAATTCATTATTTTACTTTGGAATATATGCTACAACAGAAGACGTATATTAGTTACAGAATTAATTAAGCAATAAACATAAGCGAAAACAAATAAAAAACAATACCATTAATTTTACACTTACAAAGAAAGGTACTAATCCCATATTCCGATCTTCCTGTAAAAATAGAGTAAACAAGTTGTTAAAGGAGACTTTTTCTTTCATATTTTCTTTTACTACTGAAATCCGAATTAAAAAATATCCAAGCCGGTAATAGTACTGACATTCTGAATACAAACTACAAAGTCAAGAATTTACAATGAAACTTCTTTTATAACGAGTTCATTATAAATGGCGATCCTGTAAACATGATACAATGAAACTTCTTTTATAACGAGTTAATTATACTTGCCATTTTACTAGATTTTCAACTCTTCTTGTGCCATCCAGGGTCTAACTAGGGACTAACATGATCACCGAGCTGAGCATACCCATACCTTCTATTAGGGACTAACTAGGTACACGAGCAACGAGCTGAGCATACCCATACCTTCTATTAGGGACTAACATGAGCACCGAGCTGAGCATACCCATACCTTCTATTAGGGACTAACATGAGCACCGAGCTGAGCATACCCATACCTTCTATTAGGGACTAACATGAGCACCGAGCTGAGCATAAAGCATGTTTACAGGATCGCCATTTCTGATTTAATGGGAGGAAGAGTTTTATTTGTGGTCCAAGGGACGAATTCGTACCCTTAAGTTTCATAAAGGCTAAAATATATAGATCAGTCTATTTTAGGAGTATTAACTTTGATTATTTCCTATGTTACTTAATACCCATTCTGATAGCTCAAACCACATTTTATACACACACATATATATAAAGCAAGGGCAGTTGCCACAAACCTATATAAATTGGCGCCCCTGCATGCATATCATCACACAGGGTGGCAGTCTTCTTTTAATTTTATCTAGTTTGGGTTATGACCTTCGAAAAGAAAAATGTAAAAATAAGAGAGGAGTACGTCCTTAAATCAGAGTACAAACATTTGAATTTAAACATAAGAGTTTGGAGTCCGTAAACGATTCTCCCAAACGATTTGCTACTGCCTCACGTGACTTAATTCATGTATATATAAAAAAATAAGTAATTAAATGTCGTTTGTTTGTGTTTATCAAAAACTAAGGATTTAGTTTCTGGAGTATATAATTTTTTCAATAAACACCATACACGTTATTAAATTTTTGACCAACGCTGCAACATTTAGTTATGTGGGCATTATAACTGTGATAGTTAATACTGCTATAAAGTTATAAGTATTCGCATAGTTGGCGGTAGCTAAAAACTTCTTGCAGTCCCTCTGATCAGGAGGGCTAAATTATAGATGGCTATACCTGTATCTTAGGGGTCTCTGATCTGGTCATTTTGTCATATAAAGCGCTGTTCAGGTTGAATATCAATATAGACGTAAAACAGTTGAATTAAAAATATATATATATATATTTGGTTTACTTATCATTAGACATCAGTATTAGGCATATTTTATATATATTTGGTTTACTTGTCATTATACATCAGTACTAGGCCTATTTTATGTTTTAACACTATTCTATTTCTAGTCCTTTAGGTGTTTTCAAGAATTGAAAAGCTATTCATGCCAGCTGGTATACAACAAATACCATTATTGTTACAAATGGCTTATATAAAACAGTGTTCCGATCACTAATGTGTTTTTGTATCCAAACTGGTTGAAGAGCTTTGAATTGAGTGTAACATATCGTCAGTAATGAATACGGTAAATTGAGTGTAACATATCGTCAGTAATGA